CACAATAAAAATGCAATGTTAATTCTTCTCTCTTTTTTTAAATTTTACGGGTCCTTGAAATCCCCAAATCTTTAACCATTGTCCTAGAAATACCCTCCTATGAAGTCAGCAGTGGGCATACAACACTTTAAGTTAGGGACCAAACCAGAACATGCTAAGCAGAGGGCTCATCTGTCAGTGTAAGCATGTCACAGAGTGCCAGGCTCCACATTGCAATGTGCACCAGGGTCACCTGGGGGTGTGTGAAAAATGCAGATTCTGATTGACAGGTCTGGGATGGGGCTGAAATTCTGTATTTTCAACAAACTCATACGTAGAATAGCAAAGGCATAGTGGTTGAGCTGGTGAGCTATGAAGCTAGACTTCCTGGGTTCAGATCCTGACTACGGCACTTCAAGCTGTTGGTGCTTGGCAAGTTACTTAACGTATCTATCCCTCGATTTTCTCGTATGTAACAAAGAACTAATAACAGTCCTATCTCATAGGCTTGTTGTGAGAATAAAATGGAATAATAAATGTAGATATTCCCCAAATGTAAAATACAGTAACTGACACATAGAAAGAGATACATAAATGTGAGTTATTGCTCTAACTTCACAGATCAGTGACTGGAGCACCAAGATATTAAAAAAAAAAGATTAGCACCTCAAGGGGTTTTTACATGATGAAATCAGAATTGAAAGTTCTGCTTGGAAAGAGATAAGCATTGTTCTATCTTCTTTGGCTGGCTCAGTGGGAATGTTTGAAACTGTGAATCTTGAAGGCTGCCTATGGATCTCTTTTAATTCAAAAGGTGGAAGCCTCTTAATTACAAAGATCCTGTGATTAAGGTAGAAATGATGGTATCGTTTAGGCTGCATGCCATAAACTTAGGAAAACCTTTGATAATTTCTTTGAATTGTTTCCTATAAGTGACATGATTACTATATCTCCAGACTTCTAAATTTTCCTACAAGTCTTTATTAATAATAATTCTTCTCCCCATGAAAGTAAACCTAGAATGTTTATTAATTAATCCTTTCCTGCTTTTTATTGACAGTCCAGCAATTTATTGGATAGTAGTGTGTATTGCCTAATATGCAAATACCACTACCCAAGGCAAGTGTGTTGTATTTTTCTTTATAATAACCCCAACTATTCTGATAGTAGGTGAATTTGTACATTGTTCTTGTAGGTGCCATCAAGTTGATTCTGACTGACTGGCAACTCCATGTGTTACAGAGTAGAGTTGCTCCATAGGGTTTTCTTGGCTGTCATCTTATCAGAAGCTGATTGCCAGGGCTTTCTTTCTGCAGTACCACTGGGTGAGTCTGAACTGCCAACCTTTGGGCTAGCAGTCAAGTGCTAACTGTTTGCGCCACCTGGGGATCTTGGTGACTTTGCATACTCGTGTTTAAAAAATTACAGGGAATAGCATCTAGGCATGAAAATATGATTTAATATGAGTTTGTATTTTTATCTTCAGCTTATATTTTTTGCCCTCCTGGTTTGGCTTCTGATGTGAGTACAAACACAGGAACAAATGATGACTGATTTTAACATAACCTGACAAAGATTGATGAGTTGGTGACAGCACTAAGGACTAATCTTATCTACATAGCTGGTTCAACTTTATATAGCAAAAATAAAGAAGGAAGCATAGAAAAATAAGTTATTTCATTAAGCATATGTAATATAAATTAACATTTTATTTAAATTATTATTATTAAATATTAAATGCCAGCTGTATTCTGAAATACTAAAGGACTAAAGTTCACTGCTTTCAGGAAGCTAAACTATTGTCTTCTGAATCAGTGCATACTGTTTTATCTTAATCATTATAAAATATTATTATAAAACTACCCATCTAGTTATTTCTGTTATGAAAACAAAAGGAGTTAATACTTTGTCAAGAGTACGAGGAAACTAACATTTAAACAGAATATTCCTAATAGATTTATTACATGGATTAAAACTTATCGTGCCTATTAATAAATATTCATAAATCTCAAGGACTTTTCCCATTTCTTACTTTTCTGCTTCTTTTCTGTGCTCTTCTTATTAACAACAACCAGTCTTCTGTACACTCCTACAGCAGACTCTGTAGCACCCATTTGGCAAGCATTTCATACATTTCAAATATAAGCACTCAATGGGAGGGAACTAGTTGTCTTTCAATATTCATTCTCCCTTCTTCCTCAATAATTACCAGTTGCCACTGATTTGATTCCAACTCATGGCAACTCATAGCAAAGGAGAACTGTGCTCCATAGCGTTCTCAGTGGCTGATTTTTCCAAAAGTAGATCACCAGGGAATAGAACCCTTGAATGTTAGGGCCACCCAGAATAAAGATCATATTTCTCAGCCTCCCTTGCAGGTATGTGTGGCCATATATCTAAATTCTGGACCCAAAAACCCATTGCTGCAGAGTAAATGCCTACTAATAGCAACTCTATAGGAAAGAGTAGAGCTGCCCCACAGGGTTTCTAGGCTGTAAATCTTTAGGGAAGCAGACTGCCACATCTTTCTCCCATGGAGTGGCTGGTGGGTATGAACTGCCTAGGACTCCTTAATTTCTGGATAATGGGTTAAAAATGGAAGTGGCATGTGCAACTTCTGTGAAGTGTCCTTACAGGGACACGGTGTGCCTCTCTCCATCCCTTTTTTCTCCTTGCCACTGCCTGGAATATGGCTGCAATGACACCAACAAGAGCGGACATTTTGGCTTATAAGGTCAAAGTCACATCTTGAAGAACAAGATAGACTGCCAGCACCCTGACAATCATACCAAACTAGTCCTTGACTATCTACATTTTTTGTGAGAGAGAAATAAATTTCTATCTTGTTTTGGACACTGGTAATTTGGGTTTTCTTCCATTTGCATTCAAACCTAATCCTAATTTATATACATTCAAATATTCTCTGATGTATCTGTCTTTCAGGTGTGATCATTATCACTATGCCTTGGTCACTGCCATCCATTCTATCTTACTCAGTCTTGTTAGGACCTAAAGGGAAGGGGTACATGTATTCAGTAATATCCAAGAACACTCAATACTGAAGAGATTAAATTTACTTCTTCAGGAGAAGAAGGGTTAAAGAGGTTACAGAGCTTTTCTATTCCCATTAGCTTTTGTTTATTAAAAGACATTGTAGGTAAGATTTCAAAGTTAACTCTCAAGATAATTAGACAAAAGCTAGGCCAGATGTCTAAGCTAAGTTTCGGTCTCAAAATAATTACCTTTGTTAATTACCAGTAATTAGTGTCAGCATCCAAAACTTTCCTAAAAGCCCTGCGAGAGAGACTGTGACAGAGATAGAAAGAGAGAATTCGCAAGAGAGAGAGAGAGACTCAGAACACAAGCACTTCCAGTACAATTACATTTTGCAGTCATTGAAAGCAGGTTTTATGAAAAACTGGATATTTTCTCCCAGTTGACATAGATACTGTTTTTACCTACACTTAATTTGAAGATATATAAAATCTTTATTTTATTCCTATCTTTTTTATTAGCAAAATGTTATTATTATTATTATTATTGTGTCAATAAAATTATACCTGTAACAAAAAAAAAACGCAAAACACTCTGGCTGAAAATGAGCCTGGAAGAAGTGTTCTTGGTTCTTCACAGAGTCTTTCTCTAGCATTTTTCCTTAGCCAGAGTTCTGTTGGACTTTAGCTCAAAGGACAGCAAAGGGTTCTCTCAGTGGTTTGTGGGTAACATAGATTTTCTGGTGCTTTTTACATCATTCAGAAGTTTACATAGAACTTTAATAGTGTGTCATATGTCCCTTCTTTGTGTAGATGACCCTTTATGAAGACAGCGATATTTACAGATGCATCTATTTGTGTGCTCCTTAATCACTTCATATCCATTTGAGCCCTCCTTTTGGGTATTTAGAGTTTCTTTTAAATATTTAGGGACATCATTGTCTGGTATCACCCATTAATAATGTATTCTAGATATAGTCATTTTAACCTGCAAGTAACAACGGAAATAACCTTTTACTGTTTAAAAAGTTTCCACCACAAACATTGCACATTTGATTCCTGCCTCTCCCCAGGATGGTGGATCAATCACTCCTTCACTCCTTTATGCCATCTCCATTTAACTGTTTACAGTTTGTCTCCCTCAGTCGGGTGGAGACTTAAATATCTTAACTCATTTTTGACTCTCCAGTGCCTAACAAAATGCCAGGCATATAGAATGTACTGAATTTTTTTTTAAATTGTGATTAATGAAATAATACAGTCACCAATATTGCCAGACCAATGGAACTTGTAGTTACACATTTTGTTCCTTCTATGAGTCCTTCAATGAGTTATGAGATGAAGGAATTTTCCCCACTACTTCTTTTGTGATTTAGTGGTGATTCTCGAGGTTATTTCAGTCCATGGGCTACTTCTTTAAGCCAAGGTACTGACAAACTGACCTGCTTGCAAATAGAAAAATAATTATAAAAAAAAATCACTAGAATGTGAATTTTGATGATAAAGTGAAGTTTGATGTTACTTTGGTGATATTTTATTTTTAATAGTATTACGTATATATTATCAGCTCATGTGAAAAAGTGGAGATGGTTATGTTTAATCATAAAGACTCCATATCAAAAAAGGGACAATTCATGAGACCTATTAACTGCTTATTTAGAGAGACTCTATATTCTATCCACTACTACCGTACTAAAATTTTACAGCTTTTATAGGTGTACATCTAAATTACAAAACCAACTGCATTTTTATATATTTTACCATTCACTGCAATGCTTGTTTACAGAGAAAAAGCATAAGGTATGCTTTTGGAGTTATTTCTACTTGTGACATGTACACAAGCATATTAATTTGCAGGCATATCTTATTTGTTTTATGTAAACTAGGCACCTCAAAATCCTGATATCATTAAACATTTTCACCCTGTGATCACTGTTCACTACTGTATGATCAGAACCACTCAATGTAATTACAGCTTTCTATTTCACAACTTCCTGCCACCAATCTATATTTTCTATAATCCCATACCTCAAGTGCTGTTCTGAACTGTCCTGCTGCCACGGCGTATTTCTTTTGTCTATAGCAAGAGCTGGCATCCTTTAAGGCAACCTGAAGCCATTTGTCAATCTGAGGCGGAAAACTGAAATTAGGTACACTCAAAGGGTCTACTATTTCAGCAGCTCGGCATGTTGGCTGAATCCCAGTGGACATGAGGGACTCTGCGAACTCATAGCTCACACTCTCTTCATCAACATACACCAACTTCATTTCCACATCCATTATGTTCTTTAAGGGGATGTGAGGCAGAGGCATGGTGATTAATTGATTGTCAAGTTCTATTATCTTTGCCTCTTTCTTTCCAGCTGGCTTGTCTTCACCTTCTGCCTTTCTTTTAAAGGCTACTCTCTCTAAATCATGGTTTTGTTTTTCTTTGATGCTCTTTGTCATTTTTATTCTTTCAACTGTGATTTCTACCTGTTTGCCTCCACAGTTTTTCTTAATCTCCTGTGGCATTTCCAAGATGGTAGGTGGATTTGCCAAGGTGGCCATTTTCTTGCTTGTGTTTATCTTTGGAACAAGCTGATCATGATAGACCCTATTCACTGTATTCTCCAAACTCCTATGGTTTCCTAAAGCCATTGATTTCTCTGCAAAACTCCTATGGGGATGAAAAGAGGAAAAATAATTAAAGCAATATTTTGAATTTCCACTGATTTAGACTAGAGTCAAATTCATGTAAAACACTGATTTATTCATTATAGGTATTTACTGCCTTGGAAGAAAAACTGTATGCACATCATCTGTTGACTACTCTTTTCCTAGGGCAGCGTATGATTCAGTCTCCAAACTCTCCAAGGGAAGAATTTGTTGAAAACATATTTAGACAATGTCTTAAAAAATAATCATCCACAGCTGAACAACACTGAAAGAACATTTTTATGGGGTGCCCAAACTCACTGAATAGGAAAATCTTATACATAAGCACTGAGGACAGAAAAGACAAAAAAAAAAAAAAAAATCCATCTCGATATTAATTTCCTTAGAAAGGCAGGTGGTCTAGAACTCATTACAAAATACACTGCTAACCTGCATAATAGACTTGGGAGTCTAAAGAAACTACAGCTGCTTCCTCTGAAAAGCTTCCAGAAATGTTGGGAGCACGTTTCCTCGATTTGTTTCTTCTATTAACAATGAAAACCTCAAATTTAAACAGCTTTCAAGATAACTATTATTCAGAACAGGCTTTAAAGTAGAAGAACACGACCTTCAACTTTACATCAGTGTTGAGCCACATATTCACCTTGCGTCTACCATATTAATATTTCATTTTCCTAAATTATTAATGCTCAAAAAATATAACAAGTCTTTTTTCCCTTTTTTTTTAAAGTGGTAAATATATATGTAACAAATTGTTTGCCATGTCAACATTCTAACAATTTTTGATTCAAAGGTTTCTGCATACTTTCTCTGCTTCTAGATTGGTTTCAAAATATCAAAATATAAAATAATGTCCTAAGATCTAATAATTATGTACGTTGGTTCCTAATTTTTAAGACTCTTTTGTAAACAACTCCTTGGGTAAGTAGGAAGAAGGACCACATTCTGCATGTAAACCAAGGTCATTAGCAGAACCTGGCCGTTCATATTTGCTATTTTCTCCCGGGGACTACCACTCGCCAACTCCTAGCCTAGGGCACTTCCATTATTGTTGTTGTTGCACCCCGTTGAGTCGATTCCGACTGCTAGTGACTCTAGAGGACAGAGTAGAACTGTCTCATAGGGTTTTCTTGGTTGTAATTTTTACGAGAGCAGATCACCAGGTCTTTTCACCCCAGGAGCAGCTGGTGTGTTTGAGCCGCTGACCTTTCAGTTAGCAGCCAAGCACTTAACTGTTGAACCACCAAGGCATCTTCATATACAGGGCTCCTTGCATACATTATATGGTGTATAGATGTCATTTGAGTAAATGTCATAGGTCACAGCCTAGCGAAGTTCTAAATAAAGCTTGATTCTTGTGAATACTGTTATTTTTACTTGTTTATTTTAATGATATTTATGTTGCCCTCTTGGTCCAATGCTATCTGTGAAGCATAGGAGATGTGAAGCTCTTGAAACTTGCATAAAACTCTGAACACCTGTTTTTAAAGAGCTCTGATTTATACTCATTCTCATAACAGATTATAAAAATATAAACAGGAAATGAGGAGGGGTAAGGTGTTCCAAAATTTGTACAGGATCTTCTCAGGTGTCTTATCTGAACGTTCTCTCAATTTCAAGGGCCTGGTACTAAATGTGTGAGAATCTCTGTAGTTGGTTGTGGTTAGTGACCATTTTTAGCATCTACAGCAGCATTGTCTATCTCTGTTACATTTCACATCTCTTGAACACATATAAGGTATAAAGTTATCTTCATAGCCGTTTCTTGTAGAAGATAATTGTTCTCTCTCTCTCTCTCTTCCTGACTCCCTCCCTTCCTCCTTCTCTCCAAACTAATTCCTCCACCTACGCTCTCCCAATCATCCTCCACCCTGCACCTTTACTGCCCTCCAAGAAGGTCTTATCATTTCTAAGACAGGGGCTTCCAAGTACTTCTGGCTCAGTCATTAAATATCTCTGTTGAAGGAATAATTTTGATCTTGGTGCAGTTTTATACAAGAAACGATGACAAAGGGAAAAAAGTATACATGGTGTACAGGCAGCATTCTACAGTAATAAATATATAAGCAAATGCCTATCTTTCCAGCCTCTGGAAGACAAATTAAGCCAAATTTATCCAAAAAACTGTAATTTACCTCCCCATTCCCAATCCAGAATAAATATCAGAATGTCTAAAACTGGACTAAATGCTCAGACCGAAAACACGTGGCCAAACCCAGCCAACATTTTCAGTGTCGCTTGCAAATCAAGTGACTTCAATTTCAGATTTAGAGCCTGTTCTTTAAAAAAGTTGTTGCACGTGTACAGAAGAGTTATGGGATCGCTCACAGTATATAATCTTATTTAAATACTCACTGTCATAATCTGGAACTCAAGGCATTTTGCCACCTAGCCTAATATGTATTTGGGCTAAATAAGGAGCCTTGTTTAGCACTCCTATAAACTATCCTGAAGTCAAGCTCCACTTCATACTACTTCTGAAAGATGCTTGTTTCCAGTCTGCCTACTATGAACGTTCTATCTTCCTGTTTCCACCTCATTCTACCTGTCCAAAGCTAGCTAGAAGTTATCTATCTCTCCCTTCTCAGAATAGTGACAGCATTTATAATACTTATTTTTTACACGGCAGTTATATGTGAATGACTTATTTCTTTCAATTAAGATCTCTGAAAACAGAGATGGGCTTTATTTATTCTGACATTAGCTCAGTACTTTGCATAGAGTAGCCATTGAATAGACATTGATCAATATAGATGTTTGATTGTAATCAATCAAGGGCTAATTTAGACATTTTAAGAGAAATAAAAATAGCTTTTTCTAAAGGTGTGGCCTAAAGGTGTGGAGAAAGTTGATTTTGAGGTGTTTTGCTGGATTTTTGTTTTGTTTTGTTTTAAATTTAAATTTGATCTTGGGTAAAGTACATTTTCTTCTTTGATAGTTCAAATGAATCATGTAGCAACTAGATTTAAACTATCAACCTCTTTATTTTTTTTTAGTAGTCAAGTTGATTAACATGACATTAGTCAGTGTTCCTGAGGCACTGAGCTACACTTCAATCATTACTTCAATAAAAGTACTTTTAGAGAAAACTGTTAGGCAATCATTATGTATGTCAGAGAAGTATTTGCTGACAGCATTCTGTAAAAATGCCCATTCTTTACTTTAGAAGACTGCATTGTAAAATTGATTTCCTCATAGAGACATGCCTTAAAAAAAAATCTCTAGCAAATACCGATATAAAATATTACAACAATCTCCAAGGCTTTACAATAAATACAGGTACAAGAAACAAAGAGAGGTTAATGTTCAATCATTTCGGGGGGGGGAGGGGGTAACAATTTTAAATTTATTCAACACCTTTATTTTTTTTTCTTCCTTTTTTAGATCAGCAAGGATTCTGTAGTATACAGGAGTTTCTACTGCTGCATAGATACAATCTGTGGTTACTAGTACCGCAAATCATTTATTAGATTTTCAACTGAAATAAACAACTCAAACATAGACAATTCAGAAAAAGAGAATCCTTAAAAATATACTCTCTGAAACATTCAACATCACAGTTGCTATGGTTTTCTTTCCTTAAAAAAAAAAAAAAGGAAGAAAAATCTAATTTTAACTTGTTCTTCAATATAACCAGGAGAGACATTATGAGGAAAAACACCGTGCTTGCTAGTCCACCAGTACACCTTGATATTTTGTAAAGCACGCTATAAAACGTTTCTTTAATGCAACAATCATTTATTGAGCACTATTATCAGCAAGGTCCTGAGGAAGACTAAGATGACCAAGTGAGGGTCTTGGCATTCTAGAGCTCATAATAACACTCTAGAGCTCATATAGAAAATAGCTTCATACAGAAGAGATACTCTCGTACTAGACTGTGAACTGCTGGAGAGGTGGAAATGTATCACAATGATTTTTCTGTACTGATGTCTATTCCTTCAGAGCCTGGAACATAATAGGCCCTCAATGCACATTTGTTGTTCAAATGAGTTTGTGGCTGTGGTGAGTGCTATGGTAGCAATTATGGACGTGCTTCTGTAGGAATACAAGCAACTAATGCAGTCTCAAGAGACTTGGGAAAGCTTTTAAGAGGAGGGAGATTACAGGTGTCCCTCTACAAGCAATTCTCCTCTCTTTTATCCAAGTACCCATAAAGAATGGTTCATCATTGTCAGAAGGGAGAGGTGAATTTGGCTCACAATGTTTGCTGAGAAATACAATATAAAGCACACCATACAGCTTAGCATAATAATAACAACCAGCAGGTACTCCCAGTTTACAGTTAACTCATAATAATCATTATTAGCATAGTGTAATATTTATTACCGTAAATATTATTAGCTTCATTTTATTAATGAGGAAACTAAGAGGTTAAGCAACTTGAAAGAGATCATGGAGAGAGTTTACCAGATCTCAAACTTAAACCCAGGACACTTGATCAAATTCCGTGCCTTTTGGACCACGGGATAATAAATTCCTCCCCTCTGCACCCTCAACTGGTTGGGACTTGTACTTTTCTTAAACTTAAAAAATGGTGTGTTATTTTTACAAAAATTAATAAACAAGTATTTACTACTGTTTTACTAGGTGAGATGACCTTTAAAACAGTAACAAAATGAACTGGCAATTTATGGTTAACTTGAGTATATTAACCGAATTTGTTGAGAAAGGCATTAGGTTTAAGTGTTTTTATAAGATCTTTAGCTGCAAATGTAATTATGGCCCTGTTATACTCCAGCAGTCATTAAACTCAGAAAACTGATGAGGACATTAAATCTCCACCCAGCTAGATTCCAGGGATTTCAAACTTAAAATCACCAAACCATTTGCTGATCACTAAGTTACCAAAATGGGAATAATGACATCGAAGCAACTGTACTTCTTTGTACCTGGTACACTGTGAACATTTGTCACATTGCATCAGACAGAGCATTAGAAGGGCAGCTTCATCACAGTATTCTACAGTGGAAAGAACCTTT